AACCCTGCCTTTACAGGGTTGTTGAAGTTAGCAGTCCCTCTGTATAGCATGATCCATGAGCTTTAACCCCATTCAGCCAGCTATACAGTGGGGTGCGGGGGTAGTTCCCAGGGCTAGTTTTCACTAGCGGCCAATGTTCACAAAGGCTTGAAACCTGTCGTAGTAAAGCCCTGACCACAGTTATTTTCTACTAGCCATATACTCAATATTGGCCTCAGGGTGAAGTTTTAGATTAGGACCCACGGTATGGCCTAATGCACCAATTACAGTGATATAAAGGTGAGGGGAGAGGTGCATCAGCTGTTCTTCAGTAACTGTCTATGACTACTGTTATCCTGAGATAGTGAAACAGAGCCAAGCTAGCTTTCACTTACTACAGGATAAGAGGCCCAGGATAGCCTCCTGTGCCAGCTACTGTTGTTTTAAGGCTACTTTCCATCAGCAGTGCATCACAAAGCAGCCTGGGCCCAAGAACTCCCATGGATAATGTTGCTATGACCTATTACATTGTGTTTGCCATACTCTGCTTAAGATGTAAAACCGAGTGACTGGAAAAATCAAGGGACTAATCCCTGGCTGTCAGCTTCTATCCAAAGCATGTTGCTATGTCATCAGCTGCCACTATGAGCTATCACAGGCCATTGCTAGGCACAATGTTGCTACACAAGTTCTTTCTTCTGATGGTCTACATTTTACCTAAAATGATCCCATAAGGAGAAGGTTTGTACCTCTGACTCCAGAAAGAATTTTTTTCTGTGTATGATATCTCCATCTGCACGCTTATCCTTGTCTATGCATCTCAGACTTGTTCCATAGATCATGTGCAGAGTCTATCTGTGAATCGCTTATGAAAAAGAATTGCCAAGGGAAAATGTAGGCTTAGAGAATACAGGTGCCCATGTATTCTTGTTGCTGGCAACTTCAAGCTATATTTTTTTAATCACAGGTTTTTGGTTTATTATTTTTTTTTAAGTTGAAATCCTCAGACATGCTCCCTCTGTTTCTCCGACTAATTTTCTTTGTTCGTGCTCAGTGCTGTGTAGCTGCCATGTATGACCATATAACCACTGAAATGACATCACTCTTCCAGGCTGTGGCTTAGGGCTAGATTGTTTTTAATGCTAGATTGACTCAATTTGGTGGCATCTGGCAGTACTAGTGCCAGCTGTTGCAGGGGGTCCAGAATCAATAAAAAAACATTCCAAGGACTCACACTTGGATACGCTGGATATTGAACGCAAGTTAAATGCCAAGGCTTTGGTCCTTAACTAAGATCAAATTCTTAATTAATTTTGATAGCCCCCCTGATATCAAAGTGATGGGTACAGTATAAGTGCAGAGAGTGAGAGAGGGTATTACATGCTACATTTGCTACAGGGATTCAATTTGGACCAAAACATTTAAACTTAAGCTTAATTGTTTAAACGTAAGCAATTTCTAACACTGGGAAATGCTCTATGATGTAGCAATTTGTGTAGCAAACATTGACTGGACACCCTTATTTTGGCTCTTTGGGTAGATATTGAGACTTTACAAATAAAGAAATTCAAAATTAGACTGAAGGGGTTATTAGGATGGGACTGCTAATGAGACCTACTGTGCTTCTTGTTTTCAGTTTGGCTGGATATGTCAAGAAGGTTACTTTGGACCTCATGACAGTCACTGCACAATGATGATATGGCACAAACCAATAATGAACAGAGATTCGGTGTCTCCTTGAGAGGGCATGCAAGGCATCATCTTATCCAGAACATAAGCAGTAGGGCCCGAGTCAGGGACAGTAATTTGATGTATTGATTCGGATCACTGTCCCTGATTTGATTCAACTGAATCTGAATCTGAAGATTCAATGCTGATGTGGAGAATCGGCGATTTGGACATAGGCACAGCTTTAAATGTTTTTTCTACATACCTTGAGGTAGCAGGCACGGTTTATGGATGCTGCGATGCTGGGGCGGATGGAGCTTCCCACACGAAGCAGGGGGGCCCTCCACATGCTCAGCAGCAAACCCAGAAGTGGACCGGAAGTATTTCTGGTCCACTTCTGGGTCCACCAGGGACCGTGCAGGCCCCCCCCCCCCTGCATATTGATGATTGGCCACGGGGGGACCCCGGGTGCTCCTCCTAGACCCAGGAAACACCAGCAGCCGAGCCAGGGCAATGCGGAGGACCCCCCCGCCATGCTACCCAGCAGACCCGGAAGTGGACTGGAAGTGCTTCTGGTCCTCTTCCAGGTTTGCTGCTGTGCACAATGGGGGGGCCCCCCTGCACTCCTGTGGGACGCTCCATGTGCCCCAGCATTGCAGCACTCATGAGCTGCCTGGTACCTAGAGGTATGTAGAAAAAACATTTAAAGCAGTGTCTATGTCCAAATCACTGAATCTCTCTGAATCAATTCAGAGGGTTCCAATTAGATTCAGAGAGATTAAAGGGTCCTCTGATTTGATTCGGATTCGGAGCTGAATCGAACCAGGGGTCAAAGCTTCATACAGCCCTAATAAGCAGGGCATATGTAGAGTGATAAGATAAGAAAAAGAAACGTAGGAGACAACATCAGGCCTACCTCCCCTCAGAGAGGCCCTAGTGTTTAGAAGTTTCCGAGTAGGTTGTGGCCCAACTAATATTTCCCTTTAGGGAATACACAGAAGAGATTTGTTTCCCTCAACTGAACTGTGTCTTTCTTAACCACCACCTCTAAATATTAGCAACTCCTGCCAGGTGTTTGGTTTATGTATCCATTGCACTATGCTATGGAAGCATGTTTAGACATGTTGAGCTAAATCCTATTTCTCTTTTATGTGCCTAAGAGGAACTTAGGTATAACTCCCATGTTTGCTTCCAAGGAACTAAGTACACCTTGTGTTTTCCTTCTGAGCATGCTTACTAGGCTGCATTCTGCTCACTGATTGTGTACGTGCCATGGGGAAATAGAATCCTTTGCATGTGGGTAACACTAAGTCTCATAATTTAAGTCATAGAGAAACATTGACTGGATACCCTGATTGGTTGTGGTCCTGGGTTCCAGCTCAGAGTAGGGTAGGAACTATCTCATTGCTGCTTATCCATTTTTTCCAGTGTACACTCTAGCCCTCCTCTTGAAGTTGGCTCATTGGGAAGTAATGGATAGAAAATGATATTCAGAGGTTTGGTTTTGGGAATTATCTTGTAGGTAAAGTAGATATGCATTAGAACAATGGTCTAGGGCAAAGGCAAGGGGTAACTGGTTTCTAAAAGCCTGTTTGTGACAAAGTTTCCTTCAACTGTGCCTGACACAGGCAAGCAGCAAGCAGGCACACAGGCTGGGAAATTGAAGCCATGTACCACACTGTTCCATAGCATGAGATAAGGTGGCATTAGGTCATAGTGCCCAGTTGCAGAGCCCATGGGATTGCCGGTTTGGTAGATGGACCAAATTAGGAGAAACTGGTAAAGGCCCAAATTAGGATGTGTGGATGTGATGGGTTTGAGAAACAAAGGAATTTACTGACAGGACAGAATGTGGACAGTAGAACAACCACAGGAAAACCAAACAATGATGCCCAGAGATGAAGAATTATCAGAGAGGAGAAAAAATACAAAAAGAGGGATTTCAGAGCATCAAAGGGTCCCCGAGAGGGGAATCTGAGGCCACCATGGACAGAGGACACACCACCAGCCCATTTCATCCACCCCACTGGGGGAGGGGTGGGGCTTAGCCTACAACCTCCAGACTGCTGCCATCTTCTATTCAAGAGAGAACCTCAGGGTAAAGCTCACAGACTGGCCAGGCATACCTTCCCTCTGATGACAGCTCTAGGACTGGTAGACATAGAATTGTTTGCATTATTCTTATCTGCTAGCACTGTGTATCAATAAAATTCATCTAGGATTAAGTGGAGAGGCTATGGTCAGTCTGAGGGTTTGGGTCCATGCAGAACAAGGTATCTGAGTCATAAATCCAATGCCAACAGGAAGCAAGGAGAGGAAGATATGCAATGGCAGGAGGAAGCAGACAAGTCTGGAGGAGGATGCCTCCGTAAAATGGGTGCTGGTGTTGCAGAAGAAAGGGAGCCCTGGCTTGTAGCTTGGGACTCTTCTCCCCCTATCCCCCCCCCCCCCCCCCCCCTTTCCCCCCCCTCCCCCCCCCCCCCCAGTGCAAATAAACTACTCCTGTGTGGGTTGTCGATTTTATTCTATGAATGTTAAAAGTGAGGTGCAGTGGGCTAGCTTCAAGAGGAGGCTAGAAAAATTTCTGAGCAATTCTTAGCCTGTGCTGTAATTAGAACACCTTCCTGTGAAAGAGGAGGTACAGGTTCAAACCTACCCTGGGCTCCCTATGCAACTGCTTTAGCCACTATGCTGTTGTGCTGAAGGGTGGATGGAGCTACTGTCTTACTTCAGGCAGGGATGCAGGAGGACCTTATGTAACCACCAATGAAAACAGAATCTGAACTGTAACCATTAACATGGCTACATCCATACTGCTTGGGTCCATGAAGGTGAATTAGGATTTAGCCCTTTGTTTCTTATAACTCATTAGAATTACCCCTAGTTTCAGCTGATCTTCTCTATGTGCATTGGAGATAATAATTTTTTCATTAGTAGGATTAATATCTTAGCTACAGCCCAAGGTGTTATCATCAGAAATTTAGCCTTTGATCCCAGCTGGAACCCAGATGTACAAGGGGAAAATGGTAAACACATTTCTTCAAACCTTTGAAGGCATTTGACAAAGGATATGTGTAAGCAGGAAATCAGTATGGCAGATGCATGTCACACTGACTGCCAGAGGATGCTGGGTAATGTCATATCTCCCACAATTTTTAATGTATTTTTTACAGCTATTAATGGAAGTTAACTGAGCTCTCAGATTCTGAGATACCAAAACTACGAAGGTTACAACTCATTAGAAATTGCCTCCACCTCTTAGATATAAGAGGGATAGCTGGTGCGGTGGCTTAAATGAGTGAGTAGCATATCAAAACAGGCAAGGATTCCAGAAACTTAATGTCATTTGGACTTTTATTTTTAGAGCATGATTGACAGGTGACAATGAAGTATCTAGGGAGCTCTATTGATGGGCCTAGTGAAATAGGTCTGGAGACAGATGCAGACTGATGTCCTTGCTGAATGATGACAGTATTCAGGACCCATGTGACATTTCTGACATGCAATGATATGAGTGTCATATTTTGCTCATTCTCTGTGGCTCTTTTTTTTTCTCTTTCTTTGCTTTGGTTCTTTTGCCTCTGAGTTTTCTTATGAGGTACCACAGTATACAATAGCAGCATAAGAAACCTTGGCACTTTCTCATACAGAATATTTGAACAATAAAAACATTTCCATCAGTAAATCATGCATCTTGTCTTTACTAAATAAGTGACATCTACAGATCAAAGCCCTGTAACAATTTTAGCAGGAGCAGGGGGACTAGGACTGCAAGCAGACAGTTTCAGAATGAAAATCAGGATGAAAGATCAAGCGTGCAAAATTAAACCAATAAGAATAAGCAAATTCAGGTGGCCTGTCCATCTGCAGTTTATTTTCTATCTATTTGTCATCAGCTAGACAGTGTTTTTGTTCCCCTTTTCTTCCTCTGAACTGCTGTTGTGACTCAGCTGTCGCATCAGTTTGGATATGGGGCAGTTGAAAATGGCTACGCACTAATGGTTATTGGAACTGGCCTTCATGACCTATTGCTTAGAGGAGGATGGCAGACAAGCTTCCCTCATAAGACAGAGAGCCTACTCATTATAATGCTAAGCACATCTGTAGTGGAGATGAAGTCCTGGTTTTCTATTTTTTCCATCGATGTGTTTAGTCCTCCACTGGAGTAGCATTGCAATACATACACTCTTCTGTTTATAGGTTCCTCATAAGTAGCCTATTGACCCAAACAACTGTATGGTATAAATCTCCAGTGATGTCTTGGGGTTGATTTCTCCTGCACCGGAGATAGTTGGAGATTCTCTACCTGTGATGATAAAAAAATGAGCAATGATAGATACAACAGTGATGGACCTTAAACTCTTGCCCATTTTGCCTTAGTTTGATATGTTTGCCATAATATTTTATGTATAATATAGAATTTACCACTATATTCTTGCACTAGTCTCTGTATTGTCCTATAGTACAGGGGTTTTCAAGCTTTTTTGATCAGTGTACCCCTGGCAGCCGGCTGAGGGGTGGGATGGGGGGTAGCAGCAGCTGGTTGCAGAGCAGTGGGCAGGGGGTAGCGGCAACCAGTCACAGAACAGTGGAGGGGGGGGGCGGG